TCCGCGGCGTCGACCTCGGTCGCTTCGGACCGCGACAGAGAAGGAAGAAAAAATCGTGGATCGAAAACTTTGACGTCGTTCGAAAGAGGAGACTCTGATCTTGAAGATGGTGCTAATCGGGATCGTGGGAAAAATTTTCCAGACCCTGGAGAGACGTTCGAACGCGGAGTTTCCGAGGAGGAGAAACCGAGGGAGACAAATTCGCTTTCGTCAATGGAACAATATTTTTCATTGGAGATGAATCAGGGAGATTATAGTAGAGGCTTTTTCGAATCGATCTAGACGGTATAGATTATTGTGCAATTATTTTTCGCCTCGAGTTTCCATGAAAACGAGCCGCGAGGCCCGAAGAATCGCGGCTTAGTATTCTCGGATCTGCCGGTTTCGATTCCGACTCTCCGAACATTTCCGGCAGAAATTACTGTACGCACGGAATTGCCGTGCGAAAGGAAAGAGACGCGTGCACCCGTCGCATAACAAATTAATCAGCTGACGTCGACGCGAGCTTTGCCGCGTGGCGTAGCGTCGCGCAGCGCCGCGCGACAACGAAAACATTCGATTGTTACTCGAATTTGTTCGTCCGCTCGCAGAAATAACACCGACTTACCTTCCGTCTGTTTTTCGCCTGGAATTCTCTCTGTTTGCCGAGCCACAAGAAATATTATCAATACTACGGCGGTGTTTGGCGGTGGCCGGCGCGCGAAGAAACGCCGCACGCGAGACGGGAGATCGGAGGACAAAGAAGGCAACGATGGAGGAAGCTGTGGATTTTGGGCAATTAATTATGCAACTTGCTGAAATTGATGCGAACTTGTGTATCAACATGTTCGCTTGTCGCATCGATTACGACCGGGTCGCTTAATTTAGTGTCCGGGTGCCAACAATTAGTTGGCATTGTTATTAAATCGACGGATAAAGTGGCATCGAAGTTGAGTGATGCGCGTTAAAAATTCGGAATAACAATATATCATTGTTATTACTGATATTAATATAGCAATTATACTCGCGTCACTCTGTTAATATCAATATATTAATATCTATATTATTACTAATACTAACTATATCCCTATTGCTATTAATTTTAATATATATCAGTTATGTTTATATTATCCTAATTATTATCAATTATACTCGTATTAGTAGTGTATCAATTATCGCTATTACTATTTCAAACAATACCTACCCAATTCGGACGATTTGTCAATTACAAACTGTTGGCAGCAGCAGTATATTAATTACTGTAATTATTGTTTTGAAAGTAATTAACTTGATAATAAACGTTTCGAACGATAACCAGCCAATTTGGCCAGTTTTAAATTGTCGAAGTCAACGCGTATCGATCGTCTATGTGTCTGCCGTTTTAAATAATAGCAAACCGGTATTATGAATTAACGAACGTGTTAGTTTATAATTAAACTGTGCACAATACGCGGGAATTTTAAATCGCTGAAAGGAACAATATCGATCGATCTACGTCGGCAATTGCAAGTAATAAAATTATAAATAATAAAGTCATTTGTAACGGTTACCCTAAACGCATAGTCCAAGTCCGCCACCTACTATAAATCACGTTTACTCATGCTTCACCTACTTACTTGTAGTCCGAATTGCCTTCGAATCGTGTCACGTGGCCTCTGAATTGCCTTCGAGAATTTGTCAGAATTCATTTCCCGCGGCGTCGATCTCGGTCGCTTCGAACCGCGACAAAGAAGGAAGAAAAAATCGTAGATCGAAAACTTTGACGTCGTTCGAAAGAGGAGACTCTGATCTTGAAGATCGTGCTAATCGGGATCGTGGAAAAAATTTTCCAGACCCTGGAGAGACGTTCGAACGCAGAGTTTCCGGCGAGGAGAAACCGAGGGAGAAAAATTCGCTTTCGTCAATGGAACAATATTTTTCATTGGAGATGAATCAGGGAGATTATAGTAGAGGCTTTTTCGAATCGATCTAGACGGTATAGATTATTGTACAATTATTTTTCGCCTCGAGTATCTATGAAAACGAGCCGCGAGGACCGAAGAATCGCGACTCAGTATTCTCGGATCTGCCGGTTTTAAATCGTCGAAGTCAGCGCGTATCGATCGCCTATGTATCTACAGTTTTAAATAATATCAAACCGGTATTATATAAATTAACGTACGAACTAACGTATTAAATTCATAATTAAACTGTGCGCAATACGCGGGAATTTGAAATCGCTGGGACAATATCGATCGCTCTCCGACGGCAATTACAAGCAATAAAATTAGAAATAATAAAGTCATTTGTAAGTTTTACGCTAAACGCATAGTCCAAGTCCGTCGCCTATTATAAATCACGTTTACTCATGCTTCACCTACTTACACTGATTTAATAGCGATCCGTGATTCATAAACGAGCACAAAGGGGATCGATCGCGAGACAGCGGGGCGGCATCTTACAGCGCTTTGTTATGCATACGACGGGAATTTGCTATGCCGAGTGCTGTACAGCGTAAATACGCGGCGCAAAGAACCCGGCGGCCACTTAATCTCGACTGCCAATTAAGCGATCGGCGGAGAGGGATCGGTTAAATTTCCAATATACAACGGAGAGACCGAGGTCGTTCCGACGTCGAACCGCGCTCGCGTCGCGTCGATGTACCCGTCAAAACATTTGTTGTACAATAAATTCTATGGCGAACGGGGCGCGCGCGCGAAACATACGATGTAATAATTAATTTTGTTATCGGAATCGGCGAACGGTGATTTCCGTGAAATATCGTTATGATAAATACGATCGTCGGCATAAAGCGTCGCGAAACAACTAAAGTCGTTGCATAAAGAATCGCGATAATAAATACGATCGCGTTCTACGAAAGGAATTGCAACAATGAACGCGCTATCGTTTCCACGGGGGGGAAAAAAAAGAAAGGGAAGAATTCCAACAACGGATGCGATCGTTCCATGTATATATATATAAAAAAAAGAAAGAAAGAGTTGCAACAAAAAATACAATCCGTGCACAACGAATCGCAATAACAAACACAATCAGCGTGCAAAGCACTGGAAAACAAATCAATCATCGTACAAAGCATCGCAAACTGACTGCAAAACGAGAGAGAAATTTTTCGCTGGAGAATCAATTTTTGAGAGATCCGAGAGGTTTCCGCAATGTTTTTTTGCTTTTTTTTTTCGTTTCGTTTTGTTTCGTTTTGCCGTCCCTCCCCCCGAAATTAATCTGATACTTTGATTCCGTACGCGCGACAATGTGGATACGATTGAAAAAGTCGAGCCGCGAAAACAAACGGAAATGATCGAATTCGATGCTGTGCGCCGGTTTCCGTTGTTCCGATCGATTGGAATTTTTGCAGAGCCGATTTCTTTTTCTTTTTCTTTCTTTTCATTCGATTTCATCGTTCTAAGAAAGAATTCGACGACGATGGGAGACGATAAAAGACGACGTATTTTAGACGTACAGTAATGTCTCCCTAATTGACGCTCGGATTGTCCAGACTCGTTTTTACAGTTACCGATTGTCAACGATTATAAAAACATGGTGCAAAGCCGGAATAATCGTATCCGCTGTTCCCAAATTGTCCACTTTTCTGCACAATCTAAGCGTCAGTTAGGGAGACATTACTGCATCCGCGCCATCATTTTCTCTATTATAAGCGTCATTTACACATATCTACTATGACGTTTACTACGATCCGGACGAAGCGAAACGTGCAATTCGAAAAGAACGTTTATTCGAAACAGCGAACGGACCGCGGATTTTTATACGAAAAAAGTAACACTCGAAAGTCAATTGTGCTGCTGAACAAGAGAGACGAACGGGAATACGGCGCGTATCTTGCCGTTTAAAAATTAAACAACGCTACAACAACGTTCTTTATTATCATTTAACAACCCTGGAAAACCCTCGTATTTTCATTTCCGCGATAAACGGATTTTTAACATAAATTGCGTAAAATCCCCTCGTGCATAATTACGAATTATCGAGTTACCGTCGTCAGCGAGATTCGGCGAAAGAACGGCGAATTTTTAATGCGGCTGTTTTCGGGCCGTGCGCGAGAGTTAAATTAAATTAGAAATATTAAAAAACTCGTTAAAGTTGAAACAAATGAGCGGGATGTTCGCGTGCAAAGAATTCTTTGAGCCGCGTGTGGCACGGCACCGCGCCGCGTTCGCCGAGTTTGCCGAAAGAGACGACCCGGGATAATTCAACTTTGATCCAGCGATCTTTATTTTATGCCTTAGATCGTCCGGGAAAAAAATAGAACGAAGAATTTGGGAAGTTTATCGATGTTTCAAATTTTCGAAAAAATTGTTGATATTCTAACAGCTATAACTTTGTGCAAAAAAATCGTAGAGCGATGACAGTTGGCTCGTTTGAAAGCCCGAAGTGTCTACTTTCAGAGACCGTTCATCGATTTCTTCGACAAAATTTATTTGCAACCCGGTGGATGGAAAACCTCGTTCTAGATTTTACACAAAATCTCGAATTTTCGATAAAATTGTTGATATTCGAACGGCTACAACTTTATGCAAAAAAATCGTACAGCAATGAAACTAAGCTCATTTTAAAGCCCGAAGTGTCTACTTTCGGAAGCCGTTCGTCGATTTCTTCGACAAAATTTATTTGCGACCCGGTGGATGGAAAACCTCGTTCTAGATTTTACACAAAATCTCGAATTTTCGAAAAATTGATGATATTCAAGATACTATAACTTCGCTAAAAAAAATCGTAGAGCAACGAAGCTAAGCTCGTTTTAAAGCCTGAAGTCTCTACTTTTTCCGTGTATAATTCATTCTCGATGAAAAAATTGTTCGAAGGCACAGTTCGATCAAATTGCAGTTATCGAAAGCTCGATAATCGTGATTACTTACTTTCTCGAGAGCGAAGATCCTTAAAATAATGCAAAATAATAATGAAAAATAGCAAAGCGAAGAAGATTAAGGGATAGAAACAATAAAAACCATCGATCTAGGATCTAAGACTAAGTCTAGTTGCAAAGCATCGATCAAAAGCGAACCAACCTCCTCGGTAAGGCCTGGCGGAAAACGTTCGCGGGCCTCCTGCAACAAAAAACACATACGAACCATGAAAAATCAGACGATTGTACAAAATACACATACAGATACACGTATACGCATTTATCTACGATACATTCAGACGCTTACAAAAACATTTGATCACCATTTAAAGTGCAATAAATTCTTTGAAATCGAATCGCCCGAGTGCAAGCTTTTTTAGACGTTAAAAAAAAGAAAACTAGCTTAGAATTAGGATCTTCTTCAAATCATAGAAAAACTAGCAATTGTAATTTTTTTAGAGACATTAGAACGACCAGTTTACAGGACAACGCGTACAAAAATTCTTGCAAAAATAGCAACAAGCAGAAACGCCGAAACAAATGCTCGGATAAAAAGTTTTTGTCTTTATCTTTTGATCTTTGCACATTTCTTCTCTCATCTTCGCCGAATTAGGATCGTTGCGACAGTTTCATCGAGACGTTGTCCGGCTCCCCGTTGTCCCAGAAAGAATCGAAACCGTTCGGTCCAATTTTAGAAAAGTTATTCCCTTTTGAAAGCCGCCTATATAAACTTGTCCACAATATATATATTGTATATATATCTGTTTATCTCTCTATACATATATATGTATATATGTACGGTGCAGTGGGAAAAGGAGTGCACGAAGGATATTTGATTTGTCGGGAGTGTCAAACTAATGGAGCATCGAAATCGAAACGGATTGCACTGCGCGCGCGCGCGCGAGCAAGCGAGCGAGCGAACGAGCGAGTTCTCGTGCTCCGCTATCGGAAATATCCGCGAAAACGATGATCCGTTTTCGAGGTAAACAAGAGCCGCTCTGTGGAAGAACCTCTCAACGATTTTGCGGAACCAAATGAAACGTTAAGGTCTCTTCGACTACATTCGTCTCGACGAGAAAATACGCCGATGGGTTCGCTTAGGCGAGCCAAACCGATGTGCAAACGGCCTTAATATTCTATTTACCGGAACACTGTCGGCGCAGGTTCCTCGAAACCGTTTGCCGCAGCGTCGTTTTTTCTAAACGATCGCATTCGTTAAAAACTCGGTCCGACTTCATTCGTTTCTCATCCGCGACTCACGGAACCCTAAATTAGACCGATTAGCCTAATTCGGCCGGCAAATAAAATTCCACTTTAAAATGCCACGCCGAACATCGATCATCGATCGTTCAAGATTTCTTCCGAAGCTCTTTCGTACACAGAAAATTACGCGAATCCGGCATCGAAAGTCGAAAGAAATTCCGCGCGGTATTTTAAGGACCTTCGCCCCCTCGACATTTTGCATTTTTATCGAATCGATAATCCATTGAATTTATAACAGAAAAATTCGATACGGCCTTATTCGACGAATAAAACGTTAATCGCATTAGTCGAGTTGAATTTAGATAGAAAAATTCGATGCGTCTTATTCGATCGATGCAAAGTTAAATAATGTATATCACAGAGAAAATATCGGCGAGTTCCGATGTCGAAGAGTTCGAAGAAATTTCGTTGGAAAATTTCGCGAATCCGGCATCGAGTTTTAAAAGATATTTCGCGGTATTTTAAGAACCTCTGTCTTCGACACATTTTGCATTTTCAACGAATCGCCGACGCATTGAATTTATAATTGAAAAATTCGGTATAGCCTTATTCGATGAATAAAAAGTTAATCGCATTGGTCGAGTCGAATTTAGATAGTAAAGTTCGATGCGTCTTATTCGGTCGATACAAAGTTAAATACAGTAATGTCTCTCTAATTGACGCTCAGATTGTCTCCCCAACTGACGCTTAGATCGCCCACAAAAATGGACGATTTGGGAAGAGGGAATACGATTATTCGAGCCTTGCAGCTCATCTTTTATAGTTGTTGACAATTCGTGAAATTGTCCATTTTCGTGGACAATCTGAGCGTCAGTTAGGGAGACATTACTGTATGTAAATTAGAGAGAAAATATCGCCGAGATCCGATGTCGAAGAGTTCGAAGAAATTTCGTTGGAAAATTTCGCGAATCCGGCATCGAATTCTAAAAGAAACTTCGCGGTATTTTAAGAACCTCTGTCTTCCTGCTTGCATTTTCAAAGAATCGCTAACGCATTGAATTTCCAACAGAGCAATTCGCTAACGTTTCGTTCGAACGAATATAATGTTGGTCGCGCTCTAAAGTGAACTAAAGGCACCCACAGTAACCGACGGTAACCCACAGTAACCGGGTCCGCCGGCCTAGCGGCGTGTTCCGGCGATCGTAAAATCGCCGTCGACTGTATCAACAATCGGGAAATATGAATTCAGCCGGCGATAAGGGAGCTCGGCTTTTACCTCTGTATTACCTAGCATTCATTAGGTTCCAGGCCGCGTGCACGGAAGATTAAGTTTCTCTATCCGGGAGCCGCTTTGTTCGATCCAGTATTCGAATCAGTATTAGGGGTAGTCGCGCGGCGGAGAGCTCGCGCGAGCGCCGTGGCGCGGCGCGGCGCGACGGGAAAGTTGATATTACTGGGGCGGGAGGGGCCGGGGGTGGCCGGTGGTTAGTTTGGTCGGACGATCGGAATCGATAGATAATACCCCGTTGCGGACGAGACACGGGCAAATCTAACGGCCGTGGAATCGGACACCGGTGTTTTCTCGGCCGGAGCGGCGCCGCGCCGCGCCGTACGAAAGGCTCTCGCCTTATTGTTTCCCTTGATTTCATCGCGCTCGTTGCCGCGGCCGGTAATGGCGGCCGGGAAAGTACGCTCGTTCATATTCATGACCGCATGCATATACAGAAGAACATCGCCGTAATCTTTGAAAATCTCGCCCCGTTCCAAGCGCTGTACTCGTAATCGTTTAACGCCGTCGAGCCGATTCGTTCCTGATTCAGCCGGTTCGACGATCGAACCGCGCGGCGAAACGCGTCCGTCACGTTCCAACGATATCTCGACGCGTGCTCGCGCGACTTTTGCCCCGCGACTTTTCGTTCCGCGCCGCCGCGGAAACGCGATTCGCGAGGAACGACAGCGGTGCGCGAGCGACTCCGTCTGCGAGGGTAATTTGGATGGAAGTTTTGAAGCGGAAGTAATTTTTCGGCAGAATCGACAATGCGGCGGATCAAAGTGGAATTTCTACCCTTCGGAATGAGCTACCGTGGATCACTGTGGGATTTTTTTTCTTCGTTTTACAATCTGTCGAAGCTGACAGCGACTGTTCGATCCGCGTCAAATTCTAGAAATAACGTCTTCGATTACCAGCGCTTTGTATGGCGATCGGATTTTTTTTCGGCTAGTTAGGATAGTGAGATTGAAAGTTGAGTTTTCGCCCTTTAAAACGAGCCTAGGTGGATCGCTGTCTGATTTTTTTTCGCGATGCCACGAGTTTTCGAATTCGATAGGGATATATTCGATCTTCTCAAATTTCTGATAAGGTCGTGTTTCATTTCCAGCGAATTTTCTACCGGAATAGAAATTTTGAAAATGGGACACCTCGTAGAGCCGAAAGCAGACTCATCGCTCTTTAAAATGAGACCGCGCAGATCACGGTTCTCTTTTTCTTCTTGATATTACAAATTTCTAAAGTCCATCGAGACTTTTACGCTTGAAATATCGCGCAAGATGACGTCTTTGCTTCTTGACGCGTGTTATAGTGAAACAGCAATTTAATTAAAAAAGCACCTTGTCGCGTCTGAAAGTAGGTCCTTTGTCCTTTAAAACGAGCTCAGACAGACCACCGTAAGATTATTTTTCTTGATGCTACAATTCTTCGAACATGGTGTACAGTTCCTTGATCATCGCAAACATCGAAAAATTGCTATACTCGCGTTCCGCGCGTTTCAGAGCGGTGCCAAATTTAACAAAAAGAATGTATTTTATTGGTAGAGAGAAAATTTGAGATTTCACCCTTTTCTGGCTACTCGTTGAAACTTTTAAACTTGGAAACTTCTACAACATTCCACCCCAATCTTCTACCGCGTGTCCTGACGAAACGGCACGTTCTTAAAAAATGCGACTTAGCAGGGGTGAAAATAGAGAGTTCACTCTTTAAAATGAGCTATACTATGCTACTGTCAGATTTTTCTTCCGAATATTATAGTTTTTTAAACTCCATGCAGATTTTCGAATTTGGAGAATTCTAAAAATACCACCCCTATCTTCTACCTCGTGTCCTAAAGAAACAACAAGCTTAAAAAATATTCGACTCAGCAGTGATGAAAGTAGAGACTTCACCCTTTAAAAAGAGCTATAACACGTTACTGTACAATTTTTCCCCCGGATGTTACCAATTCGTAAACTTCACAGAGATTTTCGAACTATGTGAAAATTCGTGAAAAATGCCACCCTTATATTCTATCGCGTGTTATAATGAAACAACAAAACTGAAAATTCTGCGACTTAGCACGTATGAAAGTAGAGACTTCACCCTTTAAAAAGAGCTATAACGCGTTACTGTACAATTTTTTGTCCGGACGTTACAATTTCATAAACTTCACAGAGATTTTCGAACTATGTGAAAATTCGTGAAAAATACCACCCTTACGTTCTACCGCGTGTCACAATGAAACAACAAAACTGAAAATTCTGCAACTTAGCAGGGATGAAAGTAGAGACTTCACCCTTCAAAATGAGTCATGATACACTACTGTACGATTTTTGTTCCGAACATTACAATTTCGTAAACTTTGTACAGATTTTCGAACTTGGCCGATCTATCGACAAATTTTCCGTCATTTCCTTCTCAATCTACGCATTAATTATTAATCGTTGCACCTTGATAACCGCTAGAGAACTAAAACTTTAAACTCTGCAATCAAACGATCTCCGTTGCTTAGGCGTGCGCCTAGAACAAGGCAGCTCGCAGGCAACGCAGTTGTTCCGTAAAAATCGCGATCACAATGACGGCGTGTCTCTTATCCGGGGCGTTTGATAGCGGCGAAAGGTCGGGTTAGCGTGTACCTTGAGGCAGAAACGTCGGAAACGAGACGAAACTGGAATATTCGGACTGGTGGAATTGAAACAATGAAGTAGTAGTAATTTGGAATCCGGAAGGCTCTCGCAGCTCCGGCTGCT